ATATTCATTATTTTTACTCATCCTTTTACTCAAGCATTATGAAAAATGAAAAGCAATAACGGTTTCTTCTGATCTTCACTGATCTTCACTGGAAGGAATTCCCAGTTGCATCAAAGTCCGCCCTTATGAAGATAATAGTTGATGTTAGAGAATTGTTTTTTGATTGCTTAGTGCATAGTAGTATGTAGTACAAAAAATACTGTACTAAATATTTATTTAGCAGTATTGTTTTTAAACCATAAACATCAACAGTCTACATAATATTAAATAAATAAAAAATAAATGTAAAATAGTAAATTGAAATATTTTTTTTCACCTTACACCAAATATGTGACAAAACATGGCAACCCCTAAATATTAGGTGATTTGCTTTAAATTTCGCCTAATAATTACTATTTTTGTATAGAACAAAGGCAAGCTTGAGGATAACCAAAGTTTTGAACCCAAAAATTTTGCATCACCTTAATATATATATATATATATATATATATATATATATATATATATATATATATATATATATATATATATATATATATATATATATATATATATATATATATATATATATATATATATATATATATATATATATATATATATATATATATATATATATTATATATATATATATATATATATATATATATATATATATATATATATATATATATATATATATATATATATATATATATATATATATATATATATATATATATACATACATATATATATATATATATTTGCTGACTTTAATCCATATGGTTTTTTTCGGAATAAGAAGAATCAAAGAACTACTACTTTAGTACTCCCTTTTAGTACTACTACTTTAGTACTCCCTTACATTTTCTCCTTACATAGTCAATCGATGTATGTGCTGATTCCCTCAAAGCTTCCTATATATATATATATATATATATATATATATATATATATATATATATATATATATATATATATATATATATATATATATATATATATATATATATATATATATATATATATATATATATATATATATATATATATATATATATGAACTAACCAGACTGTCAAAGAAATCCAAGCTAACAAGTTCCTGTGACAAATACCACAAGTGATTGGAAAACTTGCGTGATGTTGACTTCGAGATTGCTGAATGGATTGATGAATATTCAATCAGTGACTTCAGCAGCAGCAGATCATTATAAGGAGCACCTGATGCTTGAGGTGCAGATATCCAGGCTTTCAGGTAGATACATACTGTGAATACACACACGTCACGTAATCCTCTCACTTCAGCAGGAGTCAATTTAAATTGAGCCTTAAACATACAGATCTTGAGACTATATATGACTTTGGACATCCAGCGGGCATGGTGCATTGCTCCAGGTGACATGAATCGCACACCTCTGGCAGGAGCAGCACCAAGAAAAATAATTCCAAGTTCCAAGAATTCTTTATAATCATCCCTTGACTGACTCTGTTCAAGATGCTTGTTGGCATAATCGATAGTGTCTTGCTTTATGTCAGCCATGAGACGTTCGACATCATCAGTTGCAATCCCTGGCTCATAATTAGCCGTGTCTATGAAATCCCAGTATTGCTGGAAACGTTTGAACAGTGGAACTTCTGGACAAGATGTTGCTCCCATACACACTTGGAACACTGCACCAATTATCAGTTCCATAATGTGATGCCTACAAGCCAGTGATAAGAGCTCTTTCTCAAGTTTCTGTTCTAGGAGGACACAGGCACCAGCAAGCCGACCAGTATTTGAGCTGGTCGTGTCAAAACACATTGCACGGATGCTGTCGGCTATGCCCCAGTTTTCAATGGCTCCAAAGACGGCAGCAGCCTGTGCCTCGCCTGTTCCAGAAGGAAGCTTGGCAACTGTGAGTAGCTGAGAGACTCCTTTTCCTGAAACCAATACGGGCAGGCCATCAACTTTCTCTTTTTTAAGTAGATCAGGAATCAGTTTGCCATCCCAGTGAACAACAAGAGGAACGTTATCCCGAAACTCGGCTTTTATATTTGCAGATCTCTGGACTCTGTGTTCCAATCTGTGTTGGCGAATTGAGTCTCTGTTAAGAGCAAATTCATTGATATTCTGCCCTAAGCTTTTGGCAGTTTCTGCTATAACAAAAACAGCCTTGCGGTCTGACATTTTTGTTCGATCTAGAGCTGCAGAGAGTTCTGGAGTAACAGCAGTTTTTCGTCCCCTCTCTCTTTTAGGTGTCTGAAAAGTGGTGCCTCCAACAGCTCCCTCATCTGCATTGTCACTAGTTTCAGTCTCTTCAACATCCTCTGCTGTACTGTTTTCAGATTCAGAACTAAATGATTTCAGTTCAGCTGTAGAAATGGCTAGCTGGTTCATTTGCTCCATTCGCTGTTGCCTGGCAAACATTTGCTCCCTTCTTTTGGAAGCCCTTTTTTCTTTAGCAGCAAGTGTTTCATCTACTCCAGCCATTGACCCCCTCCTTCCCTTTTCTCGCTGGGCTACTAAGAAATCCTTGTCTTCTTGTAAAACTGATATATTGGTCAGGGCATCGGCGTGAGCAACATCAAAGAGATCGTCAAGTTTTAAAACAAAAGCCGACTATCTCCCAAGTTGAGTTGTTGTTTTTCGCGCTTTGTTCTTCTTAAGAAGACGCCATTCTTCAAATGTCTGTTCAAGCTTCGTTTGGCAGTTCTGATGATCTCTTATCGGGATTCTAGCTTTTTGCCAAAACTTTGTTATTTCCGTGATGGTAACAGCCGATGATTGTCTTATAGTCTCCTTTAATTCAAGATGGTGATACAAGAAAAATCCAAGCGCCATACGTAATGATGGCAGCTTGCTGCCTGTTAATTCAGTAATAGTTTCGCCAAGTAGATACAACTCAGTTTGAGTTCTGGTTAATTTTGCCCGAGATGACATTTTCAATAATTCAGAATTGAATATTTATCTGAAATAAATATAAAAAATGCATTGGAAAAATTTGACCATTTGAAGTCAGAAATTTTAACATGTATTGTATGGTTTATTTAATTATTTTCAAAAATATATTGTATATTACATATAATTTATGTTCATTTATTTATCTTATCATCATCATCATCACATTCATCAGCATTATCAGTTTAACGTCCATATTATAATATAGAATTAATTAATTATTAATATATTTACTATTTACAATTTTACACTCACAAGACACAAAGAGTTAAGGTATTTTAAAATATCAATCTTTTAATTTACCAATTGATGAGAATCAGGTACTGGAGAGAAGAAAGTCAACACCAAAATTATAGAAATCTTCTTTAAATTTGAAAATCAAGAAAATTTATTTAAACAATATTTCAACTTAAATTGCCATTTATATTTTAATAACTAAAACAATGCCCCTATTTAGTAAACAAAATAACCATACAGCTTTAACAGTGTTGCTTAGTCAGCAACTCAGCATTGCAGTAAACAAGTCTGTCTAGCCAGTGATCCTGTCTGTCTGGGATTATGTTTTGATTTATGTAAAAATTACACAGTCAGCAAAAAATTGAATCTGGGTTATTTCCATTTGCCATGAATGCATTGGTTGGTCAATGATCAAATATGGTAGTATAGACCATAATTGTGGAGTATATGATGATTTAAGACAGTGCAATTTAGCTTTGTAGTTAAAATTAAGTTCTTAATTTAACATGAGAATTATTATGGTATAAGTAATAATATTATGTAAAAATCAAGTGTAGCCAAACCGCAGCTGTCGAGTATCCGAAACTTTATCATCATAGAGCTACCCCTAAATATTGTTTAATTGTTCTCATATTTTGCCTTAATTATTTTTTCATATATAGGAACAAAATGAGAGGGTAAGAAGATCATATTTCAAAAGTTCAAAAATGGTAGAAAGACAACCAAGTTGTTCAATTAATAAATCATTGCTAAATATTATATCCTTTCAATCTTCTGCTGACCAGTCCTTGTATTTTCAACAAAAGGTCATATTGTTTCTTTATTTTTAATCTAATTGTTTTTTGAGAAAGACAAGGTTTTTTTGCTGGAACATGGCTCTTTAAATGAAATTGCTTGCGCAAACTTTTTCTAATTGTCACTACACTTGGTGCAAACCAGTAGGTGTACTTATAGATAAAATTTTAGATACGCTTTTGTATAAAGAAGGTATTATCTTTTTTTAGATATTTCCAGAATTCCAGAAATTTTTCTCAACTTTTAGTTTTTCCGGATTTTCAAAACTTTTTCCATACATACAAGTTTAGGTATATATTTTCGTAATATATTTGTTTTTTTACCTTTTTTCACTCAATCATACAAAAAATAAGAAAAGTTAAAAAGAAAATAAACAGGAAACAACTCAGCTAAAAGCAAAATGAAGGGAAATATAAGGGAAAAAATTATTCCAGATTTTTTTCTGGACATTTTACCCAAATAATTTTCCAGATTTTCATATTACAACCTAAATGATAAAGAGGAATGCAGTTATCTGGGCTTTGAAATTTTTGGTCATCTAGTTTAGGTTTTGCTTTTTAAATCACCAATTTCATAATATTGTTTAAATGTTTTTATGATGCAGCTAAGAGTTACATTAAAATAGCAGTCAGTGTTAAACTTTTTTCATGCAAAATGCCTTGCTGTTAATTCTTTAGTTTTTCCCATAAATATTACTTTAATTTTTTGCTCAAATATCAACAAACTATGTCTAAAAAAAATTTAGTGGTCTAAAACATAGATTATCCATTTACTATTACTCAAATTTTTAAATGTAATTTTGAATAGTATTATTACTCAAATTTTTAAATGTAAAAAAAAAAATTTAAACAAATATTTGAAATTTTTTGCAAACTTTAAAAGTGTACCAAACTTTTGATTGTGAGTGTATATATATATTTGTGTGTATATATATATATATATATATATATATATATATATATATATATATATATATATATATATATATATATATATATATATATATATATATATATATATATATATATATATGTTTTTACTTAAGGTTCTTTTTTGTGTGTGTTTGGATGGTTCAGTGCCATAATAATATTTATACTTGACAGAAGTGGACAGAGACAGCTAAATCAGGTTTTTTTTTTTTTTTCTTTTACATTAAACTTCTCAATATTGTTCAAACAAAATTCACCTACTCGCAAATATTTTATTTAATTTTGAATTTCTAAATTTTTTAATAAAATTATTTAGTTTTAACTCTGCAGGTTCAGTTATTCTTGTTTTGAGGACTGCAATCTATCCGCCAGATATATGATAGTACTAATATTAAAAGTATATACACTTATATTTTAACTATTTTAAAATATAGGTGTATTAATCCGTTAATTTTTTTTTCAACTAGTATTAGTTGCAATATTTTTCTACCTCTCCACAGGTTATATGTTGTTGTTTTTTAATCTCATTTATAAAGAACTCTACTGAAAATTGCCACCATGTATAATGAGATTATTACACTACAATGTATTTAGACATCTACACTTCTTTACATAAATATCATATCATAATTTGTATATAAATAATATGTAAATAACATATCATAACATCTCATAACATAAATATCATATGTAACTTAAAAAATAGTCAAAACTTAAATAAACTTGCTCAGTGCATCAAAAAGATGACAGTTTTTAGTCATTATTTTATGCAAAAATATTTTATTCTAATTTTTCTTATATAAATTGAACATTTATTTACTATAAACAATAAGGTCTTATGCATTAAAATTATAGTTATGTAATTATTATTTATATAATATTTTATGCATTATTTGTCATTTTGATGACAAATGTCATTTTATTTCATTATAGAAATAATTTAGTGAAATTTTTTTTGTGTGTTCACTGTTTTATTTGCAATAAAATTTGCAATAAATAATTATAGGGATAATTTGATGCTTAGAGACAAAGTGTGATTTTTCTGATAACTATACAGCGTGGAAAATAAGAAATCAAAGGCGAGCGGTCATATTGACCGGCTAATACATAAAACTGATGGGCAAATTTTTTTTTGGGGGGTCAAATTTTTTTTTTTTTTCTTTGTTAAAATTTTTATTTCAGTAATTATTCTTCATAACATGTAAATAAAATAAGAAGAAAAAAAAAGTCATTTGTTAAATGCATTTTGCAACAAAAAATTATGAGAAAAATAAATAAAAAGATATAGAGAGAGCAAAAATAAATTTAGTGCTAAAATCATCAATTATTAAAATAATAATAAAATAAGAACTTAAATCAGTTAAGGAAAAAAACACTCAACACAAAAAACAGGAAATAAAATTGATCTCAATAACTGAAGCAAAAAAATTTATATATGTAGTTTACGCCATATATAATACTCGTCGAAGCATGAGCGAGTATTAATAAACGTTGACGAATTTCACGTTGCAGCGATGCGAATTTTAATTCGCTTCGTTCCAACGAAGTGAATAAAAGCATCTTTATTAATTATTTCTACTTTAAAAAGTAACATATAAGCAATAAAATTGTTTTAGACGCTTTATCAAAGTTTTATGTTGTTATGAAATCTAAAAAATTTAAAATTGGGTTTAACAAAAGATTTTTCTGATTTTTCTGACTAACTCTGATTTTTCAACTGGTCAACCTTGACCGGCTAGAATTCTTTTTGGGAGGTCAAGACAGCAATTTCAGTCATTTCGGGCGGTCATTGACGGTTGACCGCCCGTTATTTTCCACGCTGCTATATAGTGGAAGAAAAAAATCAAAATAATGTACTAAATATACAGATATTTTTTGCAAAAAAATAGAAAAAAGTCATAAAAAGATTTGCTCTATTTCTTATTTTTTTACATATTTCTAAACTTTACAAAGTTTACTTACAGCTGCAAAGAAAGATAAAAGCATGGTTGTTTTTCTTTCAAAGTTCATGGCATTTAAAAAATGACAAAAACTGAAATACCATTAGTGAAGCTAAAATTAGCTAGATAAGGATATTCTATACATTCAAATACATTGATGTGATATTGTAGAAACCATAACAGTGGCTGTTATAATCAACACTTGTCTCTTTAAGAAAAGTATAAATGCATAGAAGGAAAGATAAATAATTGGTTCTAGTTTATCCTTCTAGTTTGACAGTCCAATAGTTTTTTTAGTTTCTACTTAATTTACTCTATCTGATCTGATAAAGTTTGCTGAGTTAGTTTGCCATGGTTTGCAATATACTGTCTTTACAGCTTATGGTTGTTCTGTCAACAATCTTGTTCTCTTTAAACCTAACCTTTTTCAGTGGTTATAAGCTATTAGTCAGGCTTGGTCGGGAAGCGGGAGCTATCGCCCTCGATTGCTGACCACGTAAATAATATTTAGTTGCGAAAAGCTGGCCAGATTTTTTAGTCGTTTTGAGAACATTTTAAAAAGCAAAAAAAAAAAAGCGACTAAAATAAATTGGACCGATAAGAGACAATTACAAAAAAAAAAGGTAGGCAAATAAAATATCTTTAAACGCGAAAAAATCTTAAGCTAAATAAATTACATTTAGAACAAATATTTTCTAAACATCGGTTTTTTATATTTTTTTTTTATAAAATTAAGCGATGTTTTTTATATAAAGTAACAACTTACGATTGTTTAAAAGAGAAACAAATATTCTTTATTTAACTAAATTTGAAAGTTTTAGTTTTACTTGAGCTTAATTTATTTTATAAATAAAAAAGTTAATTTTTTTAATACCTATTTTATGTTTCGCGTAGTTTGAAAAGTTTAACATATTTGAAGCGATTCTTCTTAGTAAGATAAACAAATGAAAAAATTAAATCGTTGAAATATTATAGGAATTAAATTATCAAGATAGAAATCAACTAAAAAGGTTAAAAACACTTAATGACCAGGAAGCGAAACTGCTTCACAATATCGTTAATGATGTTTAGTAAGTGGGCTTTTTAATTTTAATTAGTATTTAAAGCACAAAAAAGTATAACGAGTTTTAAGAATGCCAACTAAGGCGAAAATAATTAGAGTTAGTAAACCAATATCTAGAAACTTTTCTTTATATCTAAATATTTGCTATTATATATTTGTGTTCTGTCGTGACCTCAGGCGCGATGCTTGTTCATCCGCGAGTTTCTTTGTATGCGTTGTTTGTGTTTAGTAACCAGAAACTTCTTATATATTTGTTACATAATTAGTTTTATTAACTTTAACGATTATAACTTCATTAAAAACGCAATTATTTTTGTAAGTCTTTGTTTAAATCATAAAAATTGCTTTACAAGATACATTACGATAAAAAACAAATACACAAAATTACATTTACAATCTCTTTTAAAATAAAAAATAAGAATATACTAATAAAATCTATGATTTATAATAAACTTTTAAAATTTTAACAATTTAATTAATATATATTTAAAACATTTATTTTTGTAAACAAATAATATATATTCTTAAAACAATTCTACTAATCTCAAAAGGTAACAAATCGTGAATAATACAATTTCTAAAACATTTTAACAGAATACTCTAGAACTTTATTTCCTTAATCAGCGTATTTTTTGAACCAATAGTAATAGTATAGTTTATTTGTTAATTTGGCGGGTTTTTAGTGCTCACAAATATTCTTTTTATTCTTTCACACAAAGATGTTTTGAGAACATTCAAGTTTGTTATGTTTCCATGTATGTCCGTAAAACAAAAATTCTTTGTTTCGTACATAAACTTAAATGTTCTCAAAACGACTAAAAAACCTGGCCAGTTTTACGCAACTAAATATAATTTCCGTGGTCAGTATTCGAGAGCGATCGCTCCTGCTTCTGGACCAAGCCTGTTAGTAAATATCGCACTAATTGCCTTATCTATTTGTTTTCTATGCATATTGAGTTATATTTTCTTTCTACTGAGTTGTTGTTTTTTTTTTAAAATCTTTTGCTAATCATTTGAGTCTGTTTCTTGTGAAAGGAATTGTTTATACTTATCAATATCAATATTTCTCATACTATTAAATTAACCACATCCCATGCTGAATTTCTATAAGACATTGCAACTATAGTAGGAATAATAAGGAATACTTTTAAACAGTATTTACTAAATACTATTTTTTATCTGCTTTATGTTATTTTTAAGCGTATTGCGTATTTTTATTTTAATATATGTGCATAAAAACATGTGTATATGTATGTCTCTATTTATATGTACGCATGTGTGTTTTATGTCTAGTTATCGATTTCCTTATTCATTGCTATACGACTTGCATTCCTTACCACCTCTACCAACTCTAAAAATGTTGGAGCTGGACAAAAATTGGGATAGGTTTTGGGATTTTACCACTTCACCCTATTATTTTTAAGTACGTTTTGTATTTATAGTAACTCTTTTATACATATAGTATATGAGAGATTTATAAATTTATATATAATACAAAAAGCTTAGAGGATTACAGATTTTTTTAAAATAAATAATAATAAAAAAATTACAAATTAATAACTTAGTTTGTAAAAGCACCAGGGCAGAACATCTGGCTTTAAGTGCTACCATTAAAAAGAAAGACTAATGTTCAAATGTTATAAGTTTAGTTATTTATATTTAAGTAACAATATTTGGTAGTTTTTTTATATTATTGAGTTATTTTTATAATTCTTTTCATTTCAAAAAAAAACTTTACTGTGCAATTTATGAAAGTCACTAAATGTTTATGTCATTATTTTTATTTTTGTTCTAGTTTTTTTCTAAAATTGGGTTTTATTTAAGATTAATTTTATTATTTTGTTTGTTTACTGTGTGTGTTTGAAGAATAATCTATTTTATTTTAAAATTGATTTTATTTGATTGATATTATAATTGAAGATTATAATGAAAATAAGTTAATTCAAGTTAGTTGTTTATCTGCAATAAATTATGTTTCATAAAATTTTTAAACCCAATAAACCAAACATCAGTTGTTTCAAAAATTTTGCTAACTTTTTATGGGATATACAATATGTCAGTATTAAATATTATTAGAATGAGAAAATCATCTTAAACCAAATTTTTATTATTAAACACTTTTACTAGTATGAGTAAGTATAAAATTATTAATATATAAAAAGAAAAAAAACATGTAATGTAATTTTTTAATTAAAAGTTGAATCTCAAAAGTTTCCATTATGAAAAATTTAAGTATATAAAAAAAAAGACTTCATATTTGTTATTGTAATTTTTAGTTGAAATGGTACAGTCATTGATGTTGTAACATTACAGTCTACTTTTTCCTGATTTTTTAACCGCCAGATAAAATGACGATTTATACAGCCACTATTAAAAGCACAAGCAAAAAAAATGTTTCAGTTATGTTTCAAAGGTCCTATGTTCAAACCTCTATTAAGTATCAGTAAAGAACCCATAGTTTATTTAGGGATACCGCTTTTTTTTCAGCAACATCAGGGGGGGGGGAGGGGTATGTTTTTGATTAATTTCCTCCCCCCCCCCCCACCTTTCTTCCCTAGTTAAAATCAGTGCCACGACAATGATTTTTAATCATCATTTTTTTAATCATCATTTTAATCATTTGTGTTAATCTTATTTAGTTTTATCCTAAGATAAAGAGTTAATTTAAAGACTTTTTGAATACATGAATTTACCAGTGGACGAATGTTACTATAGTTATGATAAGAAATCTATTTTACTAATGACTTTAATTAGCGCTTTTGTTGCAAATAAATATATTGTTGCAATATTTGTAAAATCTGTTTTACGTCTTGTATTCCAATAACTATTTGAATAAAAAACATAAGCATTTAATAAATGTATTTACTATTTTTTTAATTTTAAAATTTTGATATAAATATTAGCAAATCTGTTCATTTAACTTTTACTAAAGGTTAATAGTTTTTTAAGTGATTTTAAAGTGCCTTTTAAATTAAAGATATTTAAAAAAGAGGTAATTATGGTAAACATAATTTTAAAATTGTTACTTTTTTTTATTAAAAACATATTATATATTAGAAAATATACTTTTAAAATATATATTTTTTTAATCATTAAGTATAATTAAAAAAATTGCTTAAATAATTTTCTATGAGTTATTTTATTTAGATCTTAATAAGACTTTTATTAAGTTATTTTAATGTTATTTTTATTATTTTAAAGTCGAAAAGAATATGGGAAAAAAAAAACAAACTTTCTGAAGAAGTTTACATTTCATTTTTTCTTTTTTATTGCATAAACTAAAATAGCAAGCTAAAGATCAAAATTTCATTCAAAAATTAAATTTGCTTGATAGTTATTAAGACTGAAATTTTTTAACTTTTGTTCATTTATTATCAAAAGCAGTTCACTCTTAATTACCAACAAACAAAAGTTAATTTTACTCTGAATGGATATTTTAAAATCATTCTATCTTTCTAAAAAGCAAATTTTTTATGCATTCCATTGTTATAAAATTTTGCAACAAGTTTTTAAAATTAAGTTTCGTAACAACATTCATTTTTTTAAAACTACTTTTGATTTAGTAACCGAAGGACATTTGCATCATTACGTAAAATTTCTTTTTCATTCATTTTATTGACCTGAAGAGGTAAAATCTGTTTTACGTCTTGTATTCCAATAACTATTTGCAGAAAATTGTTAAAACTTCAATAGAACTGCCACACAGAAAGTTGTTAAAACTTTAATAGGACTGCCACACAGAAAGTTGTTAAAACTTCAATAGGACTGCCACACAGAAAGTTGTTAAAACTTCAATAGGACTGCCACACAGAAAGTTGTTAAAACTTCAATAGAACTGCCTAACAGAAAGTTGTTAAAACTCTTTTAATTTTCCAGAAATTTCTGGATGTTTTTTGTTATTAAATTATTTTTAAAAAATTATATATTTTTACGTAAAATTTTTAAAATGACAACTTTTGCATTTAAACAAATATATTTTCTATAGTTAAAATTTTCACAAGATTAATTTTCGTACAATTTTTTTGCTTTTTTTTTTTTTTTTTTTGCTTTTTAATTTAATTTAACTTTTTAATATTAGAATTTCCTTTTTGTAAAAAGTTAAATAATCTAAATTTCCTTTTAAAAGTTTACAAAAGTTTTTGTTTTCAGTTAATACAATCAATTTTTAATAAAGTAATTTTCAGGGATTTTCATAAAAAAAATTTCTGGGATTTTCATGAAGTCAAATACTCATCTATGCTTTATAGCTTTAAAATTCCATAATTTTTGCACAAGATACTTTTTCAACAACAACAACAACAACAAAAAATTAGTTACTTATATATAAAACATTTTATTTATAATAAAATATCTCATCATTTGCTTATATTTAATGTTTTTACTCATAAATTAGTGCAATTGAAGTTCTATGTTTTTTAAAAATTTTGCTAGTACAAAAAAATTAAATGATTATATTGTTTATATAGGAACGACCTACAAAGGTTACAGCCAGAAAAATGGTGATTACAAGTTTGTGTTTTTTCTTTAAAGTAAGTTATCTAAACAACAAGATAATTTTTTTTGTTTACATATTGCATTTTTAAAGCGACTTGGTGACATACGCAACTTAAACATTCAGTTTTGGCTTCTTGCTGTTACAACTATGTTCTTTTACAACACTGTATTTCCATTTATAGCTGATGCAAGGTACTTTTTATTGCTAATACTTTTTTTGTAATTATTATTTATTATTCTTTGACATGAGACTTTTGAATGAGGGTAGATTAAAGAACACTAGAATTGAAAATCATATTTTGTTTGAGCAAAATATGATTTAATTTTTCCAGAAAGAAATAGTATTTAATAAAAGCCCAGTATTAAATATATTTACTTAAATACAAGTATTAATATAGTCAAACAAACAAAAGAAAAAATTGAACATTAATTTTTAGTAAACAGTAAAAAAAAATTGTCTCAAAAACATTGTTTTTGTATAAATGTAATTAATGTAGTTTATCTTTTTATCATTATCAATGTTTTAAAGAGAGGCTTAGCAGTAGCATTGTTTAAAGAGAAGCTTAGCAGTAGCATTGTTTAAAGAGAAGCTTAGCAGTAGCATTGTTTAAAGAGAAGCTTAGCAGTAGCATTGTTTAAAGAAAAGCTTAGCAGTAGCATTGTATAATAATAAAACATAACAATCGTTAGAGTGCAATAAAACCAAATAATAATATAATAATATAAACTCCTTGAAAAAAAACAATATAAACTCCTTTAAGTCAAACCACGAGTTTACAATTGGTTAAAAACAGTTTTAAAACAAAATTATTGTTTTTAATAATAAAAAAATTTTTTGAGGATATTATTTCTAGGGTACCTTAAGTCACTTAAACATCAGGCAGGTCATTGATATCATTCAAAAAAATTTTATTTGTGGCCGCATCCCTAATATGTATTGGCATAGCGAGGGTGATTACTCAAAGTTAAATGTATACAGTAACAATGTCAGGTTTTGAACATAGTGCAAGTGAGGAAGAAAATTTTATTTAAATTGCAAGCATTTTAAATAGTAAAATTTTATTTAGTTATTATATATAGTTTTATTTTGTCTCTTGAAAACAGTTTTTGAAGTAGAAACATCCTATTGTAAAAATTAAACCAGTGGTTGCAAACCTTAAAACAAAAATTAAATTATAAAAAATTTAAATGAAAAAAATAAATTATTTTCTGTCTGTTTGAGGGAATTTTTTCTCAAAAAGTTGTTTAAGCATATACTTAAACTTAATGAAATATAAATTGATTTATTAAACCAAATATATTTCTTACTTTTTTTTTAATAGTAATAGCAATAAATTATTAAAAAAATGGTATCTAATGTTTTTTTTTGCTTTGATCTTACTGGTTTGGTCTATGGATATGCATGTTTATGCATTTTTTAAAATTAATTATTTCTATTTATTTAATTTGTTTTATTTTAAACGCATTTTATGTTATTAATGTTATAAAAACTTAGCTTTATAAAACAACACAAACAGTGTTGCAAAGTTGTTTTATATTAACACAAGCTCTTTATATTGTCAAAACTTTGCAGTTTGTTTTATTGTTGTTTTATAACTTTTTACAATAACAATTCAATACTCATTAAAGATAACACGTTTTTTATAATCAGCATGAACCTACTAAATAGTTTTCTACAACTAATTAAATTGGTTTAAATTGTAATATTTGTGTTTTTACTTTTACATTTTTTTTTAAGTATCATGTTAAGTGAAAAAAATTACTAAAAGTAATATCGCAATTAAATGCAATACTTGCTCATTACATTACTACTTGCTCATTACACTATAACTGCAACTTAAATTTGAAATTATAACTTAAGTCACAAATTATAACAGTAACTTGGGCTATTTTAACCCCACCAAACAAGAATCCCACTAAGTAAGATAATATTTAAATATCAGAGATATTATGTTAAAAAAAAAATTACTAATTAATGTGCAAATGATACAATTTTATACTAATGCAACCTCCCCCCCCCCCCATCCTTCCGAACTGCAAAGTTGTGCCAGGCACCGCTTTACAGTCAAAAAAAAATTTTATAATATAAAGAGATTAAACAATAACACCACTTTCTAAAATTTATGTTTGTTGATTATAAAAACAAAATTTGTGCAAAAGGTACTTAGTTTTGCTAAAGTAATAAAATACTTGTATTTCCATGTATGTATAATAACTTAAAAACCAATACTATAAAATGATCAGTATATTATCATAAGTGCCATGCTATCACACACACCTTTCTCCTAATCATATTTTATAAAAACAATTATTTAGAAAATTCCGAAGAAAAAAAAAAATTTTTAACTGTTAAAAAGTTTTTATTACATGTTGAAAAATTAAAATGTTAAAAAAACCTTAAATAATTTTAAATAATCTTTATAAAAAAGAATTAAATTTTTTATTTTGCTCCTTTTGAGACCTAGGACATACTCTTGAACAATGTTTTTTGCTGTTGATAATATTAATATTGTAATAATATTGATTTGTCTATTGTCTAAGAGTTTTTTTGCTACTCCTATAAGTTGTAATTGTTATAATTAAAGGAAATTGTTGAAACTTGGTAATAGTTTATTATATAGTACATAATTAGGATGAAGACAGAACAGATATTTTTTAAATGTTGTTTCAAGAACCACCCTAAAATACACACAAGACATACAATCATAGTTGTATTTATAAATATATACGAATCCAGATTTTTTAACAAATTTATTTTCTACATTTTCACTTTTAAACAATATAAGTTTTCAAGCAATTACTTTTTTTACTTTTTATTTAAGTTTTTTTTAATTTTGTAGTAAGTTCATTCATGAGAAATATGGGTACATAGATCAGAGGTCAGCAATTATAGCTGGTTCAGTTTATGACATCTCATTAATCCTTACACCTTTGCTAGGAATAACAGTGGTAAAGTTTAGAATATACTATCTACTAAATTTATTTTTTTATTAAAAATATGATTTTTTTATGACTACTTGTTAATAGGATTACATTGGTTACCGTGGCATAATGGCATCTGCATGTGCAGTGTTTACTATACCTGTTTTTTCTATACTTGCATTTACTGATTGGTATCCGTTGATTGGAACTCTGTTGCTTGGTGCAACATACTCAGCTGCTGCGGTAAGGTTAAATTATGTTTCAAAAATTAATTTTTTTTTTATTATTCTTGTATTAAGTGTTACACTTTTAGACTAGCTTGTGGCCCTCAGTTCCATTAGTTGTCAACCCTATTTTTCTTGGTACAGCAATGGGTCTGATGACTTCAATGCAAATGATTGGAATCGGTTCTTGTAATTTAGTGGTTGGAAGCATTCTTGATAGCTATAAGTAAATTTTAGTATATTTTTGCTAGGTATATATTGTCTATCCTAAGATAGATTCCTAACATGTTTTATCTAATATAAAAATGTTTGTTTTTTTTTTAATTTTATAAATTACTGCTAATCTTTTATAGAATTTCTTTTTTATTGTTATAATTTTACTTTTTATTAATTTTATTAATTATTATGTTATAATTATTAATTAAAATTATAAAATATTAAAAATGTTTTTAATTATTATCATATTAATTGTTAATTATTTTATTTTCAAGAAAAAATATCCACAAGTGGAAATTTGTTATGCTATTTTTATTTGCAAATGCTTTAGCATGTGTCTTGTTGTCTGTTATTTTAAACATTATTGATTTCAGATGGGTATGTTCAGTTTTTTAAATAGTATAACTGTCTACATTTTCATTTTATTTATTTTAAATTTAAAAAATATCATTTTTTATTGTATATTAAATATTGATATCTTATAATTTAGAATGGTGTTTTGAATAAGACATCAAAACGCAAGCAAACAAAAAAAGCATACTTATCAAATGATAAAGAAAGCCTTATAGTAAATGAACCACATGATGGGGCATTAGATGTTGATGCTGTAAGTCCTAATAATTTACTGCTTATAGTTTTTTTTAATCTAATCAACAAAACGTTTAAAACTATTTCGGTCAATTTTTAGTCAGTTTTATCAGACTTCATATGTCAAAGTTAAACTGTTGAGGAAAAGAATTCTAAATTTAAAATCTTGTATGATTTAAAGTGTGTTGAGTTTATTCTTTTGCTTTAACCAGTTAAGATATGAAAATGTTTAAAGCAGCGTTTCCTTGATTCAAATATTTTTTATCATTTAGTAAAATTATTATCAGTGAATCAAAATTGCATACTGTCATTGTATATCATTGTACTGCTAAAATGTTGTTTCTTTGATTTTATAGAAAAAGTTTGGCTTAAAAGTTTATGCTCTACATCGTTATGAATGGTTTTAGTGTGTATATTAAGTTTGTTTATTAAAACTAAATGTTTTCTGAAAAAATACAAATTTTGAGTGCAAACATTGTATCAGTTAGCACATGTTTCCTGCATATTATTGATTGCATTTATAACTTGGATTAACGTTTTAAATTTCAACAATAAACATTTGCAGTTGATGTTAAACATTATTTGCAAATTTGCAATTAATGTTGAATGTTATTTGCAAATTAACAATTGATGTTAGACCAAATTTGAGATCAGTATCTGAAAAGCACGGCCTAAGGGTTCACCAAGGCATTACAAAGGACGAAAAAGAATAAATCTATGATAGTTGATTATGTTTGGGGGTTTGTTCGCAGTGAACTCAGAACTTCATTTTTCAGAAAATTAATGGTACCATTCTATTTAGCAAGTGAATAATTACCACAGCTAATGTGTTGTTGCCTTAGTTACTTAATACTTTTATAACATTAATCATTTCTGTTAAGGGTATTTTTTAATAATTGCCTGCAAACGATTGACAGTACACAGAAGTGACTTTGAATTCGTGTTCAGCACCCCCAATTTCATATAGAACTGATGAAAAATGTACATAACAGCAACTTTATAACTATTTTGCGTTGTGTTATTTGCAAATTGATAGTGTATTAGATTGAGTCGCTTCCAGAGTAGAAGTAGAAACACGCGCTTACATGAGTTTCTATTGGTAGACATCAAGCTTTTTACTGCGGAAAATCTTTTCACTTAGCTGGTTTTTTCTGTTGCTAAAGCAAATTTATATATTATAAAATTATTATATTGTAAGTCTCCTTATATTACATTCTAAAATTAAAGTTGTTTCCTTGCTTTTTTTATGGAAATTGTGGTCCAAAAAATGCGTTTTTAACTTTTCATTTCTTTTTTTTTTAAGTGCATGATACTTTTATTGATCAAAAAACAACTTCAAAGTTTGTGAAAGTCAGCATTTTGAGCTTTTTTTCTTTAGTTAATATTTCCGTAATAGCTTATACTTCTGTAAGTTTGTCTTGCAGTCTTTTAAATTTCCTATTTAAGATTTTCTTACTTGTGTTACAAGCATTGTAATTGTGTTACATTGTAATATTACATGTAATATTGTGTTGCAAGTAAGAAAATCTTTATTATGATTATTTATTTTATAACTTTATTATATATTTCTATTGTTTTAGAGTTTTATAATTGTTTTATTATAGATTTTATTTTACTTGTTTGTTGTTTTTTTTTGTTTTTGTTTTGTTTTTGTTTTGTTTGTTTTTTTGTTAGTTTTTTGTTTAAAGGATATTTCTTAAACTTAAGTTAAATATAATTAATACCATTAAAAGTTCATTTTTTATTTGAGAACCTAAAATTTGTTTTTATTTTTTAGAAAAGCAAAAAGAGTTGCTCTGCTTAAGAAACGTTGAAATTCTACAATGTTAGATCGAACTTTTTCTTGATTTTACTTCTACGCACAATTATAAAAAATTTTAATATAAAAGAGTTTTTATATATTTGTAATAAGATACTAATTTTTTTCTTAATTGAAATTTTGTATCTATAAATTTTATTTGTATCATTTGTAAAATTAGTTTTTATATACTTGTGTTATTTCAGAATTTAAAAATACTTTTATATTAATCTTTTTCAGGTTTTAATATTATTAATAAATTATTCTTTTGAAAAGCTATTAATGCTTATTAATTTAAAAACTTGACTCAAAATTTACGGGTAAAATTTAGTGGTAATTTTACCGGTAAATTTTAATTAGGAATGGATAAGTTTTTCTTAAAAATATTTTTTTTAATAAAAAAATAAAAGTGACACTTTTTTTTTAACGGAAACTTACTTCTAAGAAACCCTTTAGTTTTATCAAAGAACGTCGTCACGCCACATGGAAGTATGTTTTTTTTAGTTGGTTCCCAGTTTCCGACTTAACCAACTAAGCTAACTTGCTTCAAGCACATTTTTTTTCAAGCACGTTACTAAATAAACTCGGGGGTTGGAAACGATGTATACAACCAGTTCTTTTGTTGTTTATATATTCACCTCCCCAATGCTGAGGTTGCTTCCTCAGTCAAGGAGGCTAGTCGTTTTTATTTATAAGTTTTTAATATAATTTTTATACAACCTGCTCCCAACTCTTCAAGTCCTAAACACAAGCCGAATAAAACCGTTGCGCAGAGAAACAAGTTAAGCAGAAACATGGTGGATTTTGTACTCAGAACTAATTGCTTATGAAGCAAGTGCTCTATCTTTACACGACTATCGTATTTAATTAATCAGCTGTTTTTGACTTCACATCAAGACATTCTATTAAGACAACTTGCCATTCCACTGAAAACAAAAAATATTTATTAGCAAAATGAATTCTTTTTAATATATATATATATATATATATATATATATATATATATATATATATATATATATATATATATATATATTGGTGAAATACAAACTTTATTTATTACGGTGCACTGTTAAAAAATTCGCCGTAGAATCTATGGAGATTGTCCGGCAGCAAAGTGACAGTACTTTCTCCGTAAAAATTAACGGTTTCCGTAGTTTCTATTTTCCGTAAAAATCAACGAAAAAAGTCCGTTAAAAAAGTTAAAGAACTTTCTCCGTAAAATTCACGGTTTCTGTATTTCATTTTTTCCGTACAAAATAACGGAGAATGTCAGGCAGCAAAGAGACAGCACTTTCTCCGTAAAATTTACGGTTTCCGTATTTCATTTTTTCATGCAAATTAACGGAAAAACTCCGTTAATTCAGCAAATAGACATTTAGTTTACGCTAAAGTCAAAAAAAAAAAAATGAATAGAGTTTATATGTTGTAATAAAAATGTAATTCGACTATTAAGAAACTACTTGTATTATAATATGATACACATCAAGTAATAATAGCTATAACAATTATCAACAATATATATTATATTATAGCGGTTATTATATATATATATTGTATTTTATATACTATATAATATACATGATAACAAATAATATTTTATTATGAAAAATTATACTATATTATAAAAGTTGTTACAATTATTACGTTATAATAGTTATAATAAACATAAACAAAACGACTTTTGATCTATTGATGCTCTGTCCACTCAAGCGCAAGTTCGTTTACGAAACTCGAAACTTTAAAGTGAGGTTCGACTGCTTTTTTACCAGATTTTCTTTTCAATTTAATTTCATTTTTCACGATTCATTTTTGCGATACATCTAAATAATAACAATTAGGTCAGAATAATAAATCATTATTTACTGTAAAAAAAAAAAAAGAAAAGAAAGTAATGTTGAAAAATTGTATGTAGAGTGAGCATGTAGAGAAGAAAGTATAGGTCAGAAGTAGATAAAGTTAAAGAATACATTGCAGGTAATATGAAAAAGCTATGGATTTTTATAGATTTTTTATAAACAATTATGAAAGTATATCATCACAAATGACCCTTATCATTGTACTTTCGTGTTTTTCGTGACATAAAAGGAGCATTCTTGTGAAGTAAATGATTTCAGCCGGCAGCTTTTCCAGGGAACTTTGAAAACATCTATGTAATAGTCTAGCATAGCAACGGAAGATTTAGATACAGGTACATTTAAAATTCAAGGTTGGGTTGAAACTGAAACTAAGGCATGAACCTAAGAAAAAATTTCAATAGTAGTATTTCATTTTAAAAGTCACAATCAAAATTAATCAATGTATCTAAATTTAATAAGTAATTAAATAATAATTTAACAATTTTTAACATCAAAATTTCGATTCTATAGACAACTTTGTCAAAAACTACAATTTTAAATAATTTTAATATAGATTTTTTTTAGGCTGCACTACAAAAAAGTAAATATAAAAATACATCTAACATACTATTTTATTTATTATATACATTCTTTCCATGCATTTATCCTCCATGTGGCTTATCCTCCTCCAAAAAACTACCTTATATAGAGGCTGCATACCTAGGCCCATAAAAACCAGTTCAGCTCATTAAATAGCATCATAACCCCTTAGCAGACCAAAGGTAAGTGATTTTTAGAAGTATGAAGGATGTTAAAGAGAAGTCCAGTTAGCTAACTGGACTTAGCTAACTGGACCAACCTTCTAATTAGAAGGTTGGTAGAGGACAGTATTACACTAGGTGTTAGAGACAGAGGACAGTATTACACTAGGTGTTAGAATGTGCAATTTATGTTTAATATAAAGTTCACTTGATAGGAACCCATGTTTTGGATAAAGTTTTACATAATTTACGTAAATTTATATAAATTTACGTAATATATAAATATTATATATATATATATATATATATATATATATATATATATATATATATATATATATATTTATATGTATATATATATATATATATATGTATATATATGACTTATTTGTAATACATATATATATATATATATATATATATATATATATATATATATATATATATATATACATATATATATATACATATATATATATATATATACATATATATATATATATATATATATATATATATATATATATATATATATATATATATATATATATATATATATATATATATATATATATATATATATATATATATATATATATATATACAGGTGCGGATCCAGTGTGTCGCGAATGATGCGCATGCATCAGTCTTTTTTCAACACTAAATTTAAGTGTATCTTTTTTTCACTTTTTTTTCTTAATAAAAAGTAAAAGTAGAAATTGGAATCTGGTATTCACAAAAATTAAAATACTTGTTTTAAACTCGAAAAAAATTCATTTAAACTTGATTTTATTTTATCTTGATAGTTACTTATTCGTTACTCATACAAAATTCCTGCGTTTTGGAGCAACTGATGCAAATGTTCTTCATTAAATACAAATGTGATTAGCTAAAAAAAAAAAAAGTACGTTTTAACCAATCATATTTGTACTTTTTCACAAATTTTTCCGATCACTTTGTAGCAACTGATGCAATTGTACTCTAAATCATTAATGATTAGTTAAAAAACAGTTTAAACCAATCACTATTTAATAAAATAGAAATTGCATCAGCTGCTACAAAACTTCCGCAAAAAACTTTAGGGTTAACTGACCAAATTCAAGCCAGTGACCAAATTCCAGCCACATTTTAAATTTATTATTTCTGGCTTGTTTTCTGCTTTATGTTTGTAAATGCTACTTTTTTGAGACTGGTATGAATTCAGCCAATAAAAAAAAAGCATTGTTATAGTTGGCGGCTGTTTATAATAGAAGTAACATCATAAAAAATATTTATCTCAAAAAAGTACTACTTTATATTTAAAATATCATGTAAGCATCCAGTTTGAAGCTTATAAATATTAAATATTTATCACTTAACGAAATGTTAATTATTTTAAACTATAAATATATTTCTTAAAAAGACAATTTTAGCTTTATAATTATGTTGAGTCATTACTATAGATTGTATTTCTTAATTAATTGCACCTGGTAGAAAGACCAAAATCCGGCCAGATATAAACCTTATTCCGGCCAAGACCGAAATTAGGTTCACGAGTGTCTAAAAGTAACTCATACTTGTATGATATTTATATTATTAGATTTTATTCTTATAATATAAGTACTTTATGTTACATTTATGTCCTAAAAGTTATCAATCTTAAATATTTGCATTTATTTAGTTAAATATTTATATAATACTTTTAAAATTTGAGGATGATGACTTAAAAATAAACAAAAGTCTAAATAATTGAAAGATATTATATTGTTTCATGTAAATTATTACTTATAAATGAAATTATATTAAAAAATAATCTCTAATTGAAAATTTTAATAATTTATAATATAAAGTTTTCATTTTAGAATGGCTGATAATAAAAATAAAATTTATAATAAGAAACAATGTCATCCAACTCGAGGTAAATATATGAAATATAAAGAGGAAGTGTTACTTGAAGCTATAAACAATGTTATTAGTTCACTAATAAAATGTCTGTTAGAGCTGCTACTAAATTTTTTAAAGTACCCCGAGCAACTTTGCAGAGCAGGATAAATGGAAAAGTTGAGATTGGTGCAAAAGCAGGAAGAAAAAGTTTAATGCCGCTTGATCTTGAAAAAAAGTTACTCGATTTTGCAGACAACAGAGCTAGGATGGACATTGGTTTTGGAAAAGAAAAATTCTTGGTATATGCTGGCAAGCTTGCCAAAAAATATGGGTATTCTTTTAAGAATGGAAAACCATCTAATAAATGGTGGCGACTACTTAACAATCGACATAACAAAAAAGTAACTCTTCAACAACCAGAATCAACAGCATCAGTTCGTCATCAATGCATGCATCTGATAAAGGTGGCAAATTATTTTACTGCACTTAAAGAAGTCATTAAAGACTGTCAGCCTGAAGTAATATGGAACATGGATGAGACAGGACTGCAGCTAGACTTTAAGGCGCACAAAATAGTTGCTGCAAAAGGTACAAAATATTTACATATGAGAACAAGTGGAAATCAGGAAATGATTACTTTAATTGTTTGTGTGAATGCAGCAGGAAGAGCCTTACCACCTCATGTGATTCCAAAAGGAGAGAGTAAAATCCCTTCAAAGTTTTCAAGTTCTAGATGCCCCTGAAGGAACCAACTGGAGTCCAAGTGAATCTGGATGGACTAAACAAGGGATTGCAAAATATGGTTTGAGCTTACATTTTTATAAATGTAAGCTCAATATAAGCTTTATATGGTTTGAGCTTACATTTTTAAAAAACATTGGACCACAACGTCCACAAGTTTTAATTTTAGATGGCCACGATTTCCATAATTTCGTAGAGTTAATAGATATGGCCATACAAAACCAAATTGAAATTGTTGAATTACCTGCTCATACAAGCAATTGGCTTCAACCTTGTGATCGAACTGTATTTAAGCCATTCAAAGTTTCATATAATAAAGCAGCCCAGGATGTAATGTCTAATCACCCTAGAGTTATAATAAACAAGGCCAATTTTACAGGACTTTTAACCAAAGCCTGGAATAAAAGTATGACAAAAGCTAATATTGAATCTGGCTTTAAATCATGTGGAATCTTTCCATATAATCCTTCAATTATTCCAGCTGAAGCTTACTTGCCAAACTATGTGTATTCTGAAGACAGGTTAATGACTAATCTCTTTGATCAAATTAAAACAGTTGATAATACAACAATAGTTAAGCAGATTAAGCAAACAACAGACAGCACAAAAGTACTTTTACCAGATATTGAGTTGGAACAACATCTAATTACCAACCCAAGATTTGCTGTAGCATATGATCACGACTATTTAGCTAAACCAATAACCGTAATAGAACATAAGAATAATGATTTAGTGGAACTAAATATGAAAACTATAGAACTAAAAGCTGCAAGTAATAAAGCTACTAGTAAGTTTCAAGACAGCTTTAGGATTATGTTTTACTCTGAAATCGAACAGCCTATTGATCAGCATGAAGTTGATTTTACAGTTTCAACTCTTTTAGCTTCTGATTTTGCAAAAACTAGATCTTTTGCCCCAAATTTCCCCTTTAAAAATTCATCTTATCCAGGAGATGGAGATAATGACATTTTGCCATATTCTTATCCAATTTTTACAAAGAGCAAAAAAGCTAAGAATGCAGACAAGTTTTTTGTGCTTACTTCTAAGGAAGCATATGAGTCACAGTTAAAGCAGAAGCAAAAACAAGCTCATAATGAAAAGGAAAAAGAAATGCGTAAATTGAAAAGACTACAAAACTTAAAAATAAAGAAAGCAACGGTATTGTCTAAAGATAATCTTAGAAAAAAACGTTTGCTATAAAAATGAACCAATAAAAGTATAAAAAAGCAATGTGTAATTTGATCATGTTGTTATGAATTTTTGTTCTTAGTGTTTAATAAAGTCTTTTATAGAGTTCACTGAATTCTTTTTTTTTTAATGTGAATATTATATTCTATGCAAATTTTTTAAAATAGTTTCAAAATCATTTTTGAATAGTTTTAAAATCATGTCCTGAAAACTTATTTTTTTAGATTTAGGCATCCTTACTAAGTTTATTTGTTGATGAATGCTTAGTATTAAGTTAAGCAATCATTTTCTAACTGATGTTTAAGATCGCATCAAAAAAATTATTGGTTCAATATTTAGTAATTCAATTAATTTTAAAATATTTTAAATGCCAACCCATAAAAGTATTATAAAAAGCTTGTTATTTATATTGGCTGTAATTAGGTTCATTCCGCATACGCCTGGCTGAAATTTGGTCATAGTGGCTGTATTTTGGTCAAATTTATATACTTTTTGTAATCGTTGTTTTATCAAACATTTTTTATTTATAATAATTGCTGTAATTATATCCTAAATGCTGAAAGATTTATCTTTCTAGAAATGTATAATTTTCATATAGACCTCTTTGTTAATATGTCTGTAGGAACAATTTTGTAAAGATGCGGCTTTACCCTACAAAAAAGATAAGAAATGTTATTTATAACCAATCAAATTTGTAGAAAGTTAGAACAATTGCATCAGTTGCTCCAAATCGTTCAAATTTTACAAAATTCTGATATGCTACCTGATAAACGTTCTTTGTTGGACTTTGTTTGTAAACTAAAGTTTAAAAAAAAAATGAATTTTTTAGTCTCAAATGCTATTAAGGCTAGACATTTGCCAAATATTCGCAAATATAAAAACCAGTTGACTGAAGAATTGAAAGTTTTAATTAATATTATTATTTGAACTGAACTGAACTTAAGCTAAACTGGACTCTTATTATTAATAAGAGTCCAGTTCAGCCACATAGTCAGTCTTCTGAAAATACTGAAATGGATCGTTTTATCCCAAAGCAAGAAGATACTAAAGATTATGTTGCTTTAAAGTAAAACCCTATTATTAATGTTAATGGTATTTTATATTTCCAGCTAGTATTTAATATAAACTGAGCTTGTTTTAGTATACTTTTTATTTAAGGTCATCTGAAGATGGAAATTGCCTCTACAGTTCAGCTTCTCTTTTAAGCAAATCGTCTCTGAAGACAGTTAATGTATTGAGGCTTCTAACTTCGATTGAATTGTTTGAAAAAGCTTCTTATTATGCAAGGTACTCCCTTTTTGTTAAACAGGTTGAAAACAATAATTTTTCTAATCTTTCCAGTGTTCTAGTAGCCTGTGTTTCTTTTGAATGTTCAGATCAATTTAAATTAATTAACAGTGAATCAGCTTCTGAAATTATAATAATGGAAGAATTGATCAACTGCCGAGCTAACAAGTTTTCTTCTTTTTTATGTCTAATTGCTTTGTCACCAGTTTTAAATATTCCTATTAGATCAATTTATCCTGATTTTGGCTTAGAAAAATTCAAAAAGTTTTTTAATACAATTTTTTTTCCATTTTGTTCAATTGAAAATCAAGATCAAAATGTTTTAAATATTTTATGGTGTAATACTGATATTATGTCAGTGATGCAAAATAATAATAACTGGACACCGAACCATTTTGTACCAATTATTAAAAAGCCTAAACTAATTTCTAGCAATAATAAGAATTTGGCTATAAAAAACGATGCTACTTACACTTTTTTAGTCCAAAAACTGAAACAAATAAAAAAAAACAACTTGATTCTGCAAAACATGTCAAAATTCAATCTAAAATTAACTTTAAAAAAAACCTTCTGAAGATTCAAAAATAGTTAAGTCATTAGACTCCAACTCAGTTATTATTCCTTCATATAATGAATTAAATTCTTTGCATGATGTTTCAACCTATCTTGTTTGAGGAAAACTTTTAATCGCTGGCAAAGATGATTCTATTTTGTTAGATATGGTAAAGAAAATATTTTGTCCTAATTCTATGTTTGTTTTTCCAATATCTTTTAATACAAAAAGATCATTTAAATTTGAATGGCTCAGCCAGTTTTCTTGGTTAGCTTATTCTAGCAAAGAAGATGAAGCTTACTGTCTTCCTTGTACTTTGCTAGGTGCTAGTATTCCAAATAAGTCTGGAATTATAAATTTAGTTTTCAAGCCCCATCAAGAGTGGGGTAATGCTGTTCGTGATTATAGAAAACATGAGGAAAATTGTGTTTTACATAAAAAATCTATGCTTTCATTTAATGCATTGCTTTCACATTGCAATTCCAAAAGTAATGTTATTGAGGTTGATTTAAATAATTCTCGTTTGAAACTTCTTTCTGATAACCGAAAAAAATTAGTTCCAATAATTAAAACAATAATATTTCTTGGTAGAAACGATCTAGCATTTCGTGGACATCGTGATGATAGCAAATATCATCCTGATATTGGGGAATCTTCTACACAAAAAGTTGGAGTTGGTAACTTCATAGAGCTTTTAAATTTTCGTGTTGATGCTGGTGATCAAATATTAGCTAATCATCTTTCTTCAAGTCCGAAAAATGCAACCTATATATCAGAAACTACCCAAAACCAACTTATTGATTCTTGTGGGAAAACAATTGAGGAAGTTTTAATAAAAAATGTCAAGCATTCAATTTTTTTTTCAATTCTTTGTGATGAAGCAGTTGACTGTTCAAATACTGAACAAATGTCACTTGTTTTAAGATATGTAAATTCAAATATTGAGATTTGCGAGGATTTCTTAAGATTTATTGATTGCAAGACTGGTACATCTGGTCTTAGTCTATCTCTCTAAATGTACTTAATGCACTTCAAGAGTTTGGACTTGATATTCAAAATTGTAGAGGCCAAGGGTATGTCGGTGCGGGTTGTATGGCAGGTGAGTATAAAGGAGTTGCTTCTCGAACAAAAGCTCTTAATCATAAAGCTATATTTGTTCATTGTGCAAGCCATAGACTTAGTTTAGTAGTATCAGCTGCATGCCAAGTTCAAAAAGTAAAAAATCTTCTTGGCCAAGTAAAAGAAATTTCTTATTTTTTTAACTTATCTCCTAAACGTAGTAACTGTCTCAAAAAATATTCAAGTCCAAATCAAGAAAAAATGATAGATACTTGTCGAACAAGATGGGTTCAAAAACTGAGAAGTGTTGATGGTTTTTTTGATAATTTTATACCTATTATTCATGCTTTAGAGGAGATGGGGTTAAATGAGTCAAAGGAATATAACAGTGAAACTGCTTCCAAATCCTCTTCTTTTTTAAGATTATTAACAAATTTCTCTTTTATTGTAAGTTTAGTTATTACAAAACAATGGATTTTTTTTTATGCAATTACTGTAACTCTTCGAACTAATTCTTTTGACATATCCCAGCAGTGTTTTGAAATAACTAATCTAAAAAATCTGTTATTAGAAATTAAAAATAAAATTGATATACATCACACTGAATGGTACGCTATCGCTCTTAGTTTGGCCAAAACTCTTGATATACAAGAAGTGAGACCTAGATTGTGTAATGTCCAGGTTTACCGGGATAATTATCCAACAAATACAGTTTGTTACTATTTTAAACATAGCATTACTTCTCGATTAATTGAACATCTTATTAATAAGCTAGATAATAGGTTTCCAGAAAATGGCATGTTTGTTTATAAAGGTCTAGCAGCAGTTCCTTCAACTGTTCTATCCAGAATACATGTTAAAAAACCATGGAAATCTGATTTTTATGAATTTTTAAATTTCTATTCATCTGATATG